AAATTTAGGTTACTAGATCTTTCTTCCAATGCATTGTTATGTAGATTTAAATATCCAAACTTTCAGTTAGCAGGCAGGTCAGCTAGTCTTTCCTACCACCAGGAACATCTATCAGACTTCACAGTCATTAGGAAAGCTGAGTGGTTAGGTTCAAAAAAAATGGCCAATTGAATCAATACTGCCCTGAGAGGAAGTCAAGTATTATTTTTAAATTTAATACTAAACTTTCACTTTCTCCTGGAGGTGTCAGAGTGTGAAGGCAGTACTAGTCAGTCACTTATTTGCAGATTTTACCTCTTTAAAATGATGTCACTAGAGGATCCAAGGGCTGGGGATTGGGTGGTAGGGAGGGAGCAATGAGCTGAGGATGGGCAGGGATGTTAATCATAGGGTCACACAATCTGATGGGTAGAGGGAGGAGAGGTGAAGAAATGGGAAAGATCAGGTATGAAAAAATAAAACAACAAAAAACCAAAACAAACCCAATGTACAAACTTTCTAAATAAACCATATAAAATGGAAAAAAAATCCACTAACTTAAATTATAAGGCCCAAATAAAGAATCATCTATCCACATAAATATATATTAAGCTGTTGCTGTTGTTATGTGCCATCCAGTCGCTGTGACTCATAGTGACACTATGTAAAACAGCCCTAAACCCTGCTTTGTCCTGTGCCAATCTCACTGTCTCCGACACTCACCCCGATTACCCCAGACACGGAATCAATCCACCTCAGAAAAGGTCTTCCCCCTTCCTTATTTATAATTTGAGCTGCTACATTCTGCTGCCGTGAAGTTCAGGGTGCCTAATGTCGATTACATAGGGCAAAGATGATTCCAAACTCCTGTCATTTGCGAAGTTCAGGGGTTCCTAATGCTAGTATATAGGTGGAATGTCTCATCTTGCTTTGGGTGCCTGATTATATTTCAAAAAAGCCCTTTCTAATCATAAAAAACCCAATATTTATATATTCCATATCTATATTTAAAAATCCTAATAAAATTTAACTATGAAAGTAACTATTTTTTTATCACCTTTTTTCCTCCAGAACAGTACATCATACGATCATCTGACTCAAAATGCCCCATGCCAGTCCATCTCATTTTGCCAATAACTAGAATTTTGATATTTATGTGTTCCATTTCTTCTTTAACAATATCCAATTTTCCTACATTCATGGTTTTGACATTCCATGTTCCAGTCACTAGTGTCTGCTTATAACTGTTTCTCTTCCCAGGGAGCTCTGGTGGCCTAGTGGCAAGAAGCTGAACTGCAATCCCAGAAGTACACAATTGGAATCCACCAGATGCTCTGCTGGAGAAGGAGGGGCAATCTCCTCCTGTAACAGATCTGATGGTACACACACACACACAAATAATAAAAAATTTAAAAAAACAAATAAACCAAAACAACTTGTCCTCTTCCTTTGTGTTTCCATACTTGAGGGCTCAGCCTCAGTTGCCACATCTACTAGTCTAAGTTTACTCAATTGTACATAGGGTTTTTGAAGGCTGGCTATTTCAGAAGTGGATGGCCTATCCTTAAGTGTCCTAGTCTTTCTTAATTTGAATGCTCAGATTTAGAACATTAGCTGACAGACAAGAATTTTACAGAAAAGAGCAGATAAAAGATATTTCCTAAATACAGAAATAACCAATAGATTCACTGTTGTAACCAATAGACATTGTGTGTCTTGACCCACTCATTTCCCTGCTCCGCCAGCATTCCTTTCTACTCCCACCTACTCCATTCAGCACCTGACCTCTCCCTTGATGTAATGGTTAGCTCTCAAGCTTCTGGATTTCTGTGATTCCCAACACTTCAAGTTATTGCCAGTTTCTTCTGCTGCAGCCTGTATCTCTTGAGTTTAGGAGTCTGTAAGTTCAAATACTAGGTACTAGTATCAGGAAGGCTGCCTATCTCTGACAGTTCTGAGGAAAAATTTGAATAGAGTAAGGAAACACTATATAGTTTCAAAATTGGGAAGAGTGTACACCAGGGATTTGTGCTATCCCCATAACTTTTCAATCTATTTGTGGAATAGATTATCTGGGAGGATGGGTTCAATGAGGAGAAATATGGCATCAGGATTGGGGGAAGACTCATCAACAATATGCATTATGCAGATGACATAACCCAGCTTGCTGAAACTGTGGAGGACCTGAAATGCTTACTGCTGAAGGTCAAGGGCTACAGCCTTCATTATAGATTGAAGCTCAACATCAAGAAAACAAATATTCTCACCACTGAGCCGATTGGTAGTATCATAATAGTCTGTGAAAAGATTGAGATTGTTGATAGCTTCAGTTTGCTTAGCTCCTTCATCAACACTCTTGATAAAAGCAGCCAAGAAGTTAAAAGACAAATTGCATTGGAAGAGTGTACTGTCAGAGACCTCTCCAAAGTACTGAAGAACAATGATGTAAATCTGGAGACTAAGGTGCATCTAATCCAGGCCATAGTCTTTGTGATTAATAGCTATGTATCAGAAAACTGGACAATAACTAGAGATGATAGAGGAAGAATTGATGCCTTTGAGCTGTGGTGCTAGAAAATAGTATTGAATATACCATGAACTTCTAGGAGAACAAACAAGTTCATCCTAGAGAGGGTGAGACCACTTTGCTCCTTGGAGGCAAGGATTCTGAAGCTCCATCTGAAATACTCTGGACACGTAGCAAAACAGAACCAGTCATTGGAGAGGGACATCATGCCTCAGAGGGTAGAGGAACAGAGCAAGAATGAAGACGCTGAATTAGATGGATAGATTCAATGATTGGAATAATGGGTATAGGTGTGTCAGAAAGAATAGGACTGGCACAGGATAGAGAAGGGCTGTTTTATATAGGGTCACTATGAGTTACAGGCAACTAGACAAAACATAACAACAATATCAACAACAAAAACAACAAAACACAAAAAAAACTTTGCCAAAATTTATCAATGTCATAATTGACCCAAACTCAATGCCATCATTAGGTTTTCGTCCTATGAACTCATAATTGCTATTAAGTAGTCATACAGAAGTGAGAAGTAGCTAATCATAATTTGATGTCCCTAAAGATACTGAGGACGACTTGAAACACTTGTTGCAGAAGATCAAGGATTGAATTTTCCATGTAGGTTGCATCTCAACATTAAAATACCAAAAACCCCCACTACTGGGAAGATGGGCAGTATCATGATAAGTGGAGAAAAGATTGAGGTTGCTAATGGTTTCATTTTGCTTAGTTCTACAGTCAATACCCTTGTCAACTGCAGTAGGGAATCAAAAGAGTATTTGCATTGGGAAAATTTGCTGTCAAGGACTACTCTAGAGTGCTAAAGAGTAATGATGTGAGTATAGAGACTAATGTACACCTAATCTAGGCCATGTTATTTTCAATTTCTTGCTATGCATCCAAGAATTGGACAGTGAATAAGGATGACAGAAGAATCACTACCTTTGTGTTGTGGGGCTGGAAAAGAGTATTGAACAAACTGGGGACTGTCAAGAGAACAAGAAGACCCTGGATCAGATAGTTGGTCAGTGACAGTGGCAATGGTGTCAAGTATATGGGAGACAACAAGGTTGGCTCAGGGTAGAGCAAGGTCCAGAGCCTTTTCCACAGATTACTCTGAGTTGTAGTTAAATAGGCTTTGCATAACAACAAATATACTACATCAATGGAGTTAAATTACAGTATTACTGCTCAGGTGGGTGTGAACTTTCATATATTATGTGATAATTTACATTCTTACTTTATATATGTCACTTTTCATCATGTCTGCATGAAATTACCTACCTAGCAATATTAAGAAAGTTCTGAGGTCTTTAAAACAGGGTGTATATATTCTGTTCTATTATTTCATAAATGATGACCATATCAATATTATCTTGCTTTCTTAAAAGCTGAAAAAAAATCTAAATTGTTTTCTATAATTTACTCTTTCAGATCTTCTACAAGTTGAGCCAACAATTGTTACTATGTGTCCCTCAAATGGCATAAATGATTGTGGAGTGCAAAATAACAGAGAAAATGGAAAGAGACTGTATATGACAAAGCTTGCTAGCAACTAAAATAGACAATACTCAAAATACATGAAAGAAGCCAAAATATTAAGGAAAAGAAGTAAAACATCGTTCACCTAATAAGGACTATATTTGTACCTATATAAAGAGAAACCACAGATGGAAAGAGGGGCTACAATTTTTTTCATGGGACGATGCAAAATACTTTTAATTTTACTTCAAAACATTTTGTACAAATCTCACGCAAAAAAAAAAAATCTATTTTTGTGCAAGAATAAAATATTGACCTACTAAGTTGAATCTCATTATCTCTCAGTCACTAGAATCATAGAAGTAAAGTGAACCATCTCTACATTCAAGAATTATAATCAATGCAAGTATATACTTTTGGTTTAAGTTTTTAAAATAACATGCATGATTACATTGAGTAGTATAAAATGTTTCTTATTTTTATAAAACATTCTAAATGGCTAGTAATCAAACAAATAATAAAAATCTTAGATTTCCCCGCACAACTTCATGACATCTAATATTGTGTTTCAGACTTGTATGACAGTGGCTTTTGAAAAGGGAATGAAGGTCACCAAATATCATCATATATTTGCACTGTTGGAATCTGGGTAATCTCTCAGTAGGATATTTTAGTTATTGCATTGTAATATTTCCTTAAAAGACTTTTTGGCCCACTCATGAGGAACCTGAAGTTGTAGAAATCTATTTTAACAGAATCAAATTTTGTATAACTGAGAAATAACCCTTTGTTCCGCTCAAGACGCAAACACAAAAACCACAATCAAATGGATGTATTTTGACTAAATAAATAGGAATGTATGTTCACAATTTTTTTTTCTCTCAACAACTTTCTGTCACCACCATCATCATCATAATGATCATCCTCAACAATCAATACCATCAACTTTGGTCCTATATCAGAGAGACCATTCACTCTCTTCTTCACTCTCTCTCTCTCCCTTAGACAATCTTACCTCTCTCCCTCCCTGTACTGCCTCCAGTCTTTTGAAGCTCAATCCCTGCAAGAAAGAAACATATGTATTACTTTTAACAAAGAGATCCACTTTTATTAGTAAACAATATTTATTTTTGTCCAACATTTTGATAATAATGAATTGAAATTTGAATAATGAATATTTTTTCACATATAACTCCTCATAAGTGATGCCAAAATATTTCTTGCTAAACTTAAGATAATATATTAAAATAATTCTTATAATATTTATGTATATCTGGTTGCCTAGTTGACAAGTAGTTGTACTACCAACCCAGAAGCAACATAGTTGTAATCACTAGTTGCTCTGTGGAAGAAAGATAGGCAATCTTCTTCTTTGTGATTTACAACCTCTGAAAACCTACTAAAGTGTCAGATATGAGTTGGTTTTGACTTGATGGCATATAATAAAAATATAATATTTGTTTAAGTAAAACTTTCCTGTGCCTCTTACAATTAACAGTGAGAAAATTTTCCTATATTACATGAAGAATGACATATAATATACGATAGAAGGATAAACTTATACCATACTTAACCTCACCTGACATAACACTAAAATACTAAAGGATTTAAAAAAACAAACCAAAAGTAGATCTTGTAGTAATATGTGTTATTAGACTAAAAGTTGGCTTTTTATAGCCATTACAGTTAGCTGCCTCTGGTCTCCAGATACCTTTACTACAGACACATGGTCTTGTAAATCATCTACAGCTATGGGACCAGAATAAGAGAGTAAATGATTCCCACATTGAGCAGCAAGACTTGAGGGAGACCCTGGTGGCAAGACCCTGGTAACAGTGGTGGAGAGACTGTAGCATTGCTGTAGGCACAGCAGTTAAGCAGTCAAATAAAAATTATTTACCAAGGTTTGCCTCACAACAGTAAAATGTCAGTTTCTCCTTCACTGTGCAAGAAAAGCCAAAATCTTTAACTGTGGCCTTTATCTCAGGGCTCTTCTGCTTATAGTTTGCCATAGTTTCTCCACAGCAAAGCCACAATCTCTTTACCATTATTACCAGGGTCTTATTTCCAAGATCTCCCTCAAGTCTTGTCATCACAAGACTTTCTCACCTCAAGTTTTGCTGCTTAGTGTGCTAAGATTTCTTTCTCTTATTGTAGCCCCACAGCTGTTGTTGACTTGCAAGACCATATGTCTGTAGGTAAGGTAGTTGGAAGTAGTTGGAAGCCAGAGCAGGATAACTGTAATGGCTAAAATAAGCCAACTTTTAGGCTAACACCATATTATATCTCAACATTACAAAAATAAAAATTCTTACAACTGAAGTGACACACAACATGCCTCTCTACAACTATCAACATTTATCAACATTTATCAAAGTTCATAGAGTTTCAGGAGGCATGTTGTTTAGGAAGTGGATGCCACTCTTGCTATTGAAATTGTCAATCAATTCATCTTACTTTGATCCACAATCAATACACTTGGTACTAGTAGTCAAAATAGCAAGAGACACCACAATTGCTTGGGAAAAATCTGCAGTCAGGGAGTGCTCCAAATTACTTAGAAGTAATAACATCAGTTTGAAGACCAAGGAGTGCCTCATTCAGGCCATCATCTTTTCAATCACTTTCTATGCATCTTACAGCTGGGCAATGAATAAGGATAACAGCACATGAATCAAAGACTTTGAGTTGTGGTGTTGGAGAAGAGTACCAAATAGACTGCCAAAAGAACAAACATATGTCTTGAAAAGAGTACAGTCAGAGTACTCCTTGGATGCAAATATGACAAAGCTTCTACTAACATAGTTGGGAATATTTTAGGAGGGGCTACTTCTTGAATAGGGACACCATGCTTGGAAAGGTGGAGGGTGGGTGAGAGGAAGACCCTAGTCAGATAGATTGGCACAATGACTGCTACAATAGGTTCAAGTATGTTAAATATTATGAGGATTCTGCATAATACCATCAGGTTCAGACCTATTGCTCATAGGATCACTGAGTCAGATTCAACTCCATGTAAAACAACAACATACTATGTAGATCACACATTGTATCTCTAAAATTGTGGGTATATGTATATAGTTATTATTGTAAAGTGCCACTAAGTTGGCTATGACTCATGTGGTTATTGTGTTAGGTACTATCAAGTGAAGTACGACTTATAGTTACCTTATAACATACTTGTCTGTTATCCCGACTTAAGCTGCACCATCCTTTATATTCCTAAATGACTTGAACCCTATTGCAACAGTCACTGTGTATCAGTCCATGTCATTGTAAAGGTGGAGGGTCAGTGAAGAAGAGGAAAAGCCGATGTACAACAGAACACACATAGAATGACGGAAAGGGCAACAGAGTATGGAAATACAAAGGAAGAGGAACAGTGGTAAGAAGACACTAGTGATTGGAACATGGGATGTGAGAACCATGAATGTGGGAAAATTAGATATTGTTAAGGAGGAAATGGAACGCATAAATATTGACATACTAGGCATTGATGAGATGAGATGGACCAGTATGGGGCATTTTGAGTCAGATGACCATATGATATACTACTCTGGAGGTGAAAAGGTGAGGAAAAATGGGGTTGCTTTCATAGTTAGAAAAGCCATTTCTAGATCTGTCTTGAAGTACAATATTGTGAGTGACAGGATAATATCCATATGCACAGAAAAAACTTCAGTGAATACCACTATCATACAGATATATGCACCAACAACCAGAGCCAAAGAAGAGGAAATAGAAGATGTCTACCAACTTTTATAGTTGGAGATCGATCGAACATGCAATCAAGATGCATTGATAAAAATGGGTGACTGGAATGCAAAAGTTGGGAATAGAGAAGACGAATCAGTTGTCGGGAAATATGGACTCAGAGACAGAAATGGAGCTGGAGAGAGAATGATTGAATTTTGCACAACCAGTGACTTATTCATCACAAACACATTTTTTAAGAGACAAACACAGGTTATACACGTGGATCTCACCTCATGGTATGCATAGGAATCAGATCGATTACATCTGTGGAAGGAACCACTGGAGAAGGTCAATATCAGCTTTGAAAACTAGGCCAGGAGCTGATTGTGGAACAGATCACCAACTACTCTTATGCAAGTTCAAGCTGAAGCTGAGGAAAATTAAACCCAATCTATGGGAACCAAAATGTAACTTTGAGTCTATCCCACCTGAATTTCAGAACCATCTCAAGAACAGGCTTGAGGCCTTGAACATGAATGAGCGAAGAAGAGGAAGACACTAAATTCTCAGATGCACAGCAGTTGATTAGTAAGACCATGACTTGAATGAAAAACATCTTTGTCTTCAAATTGACATCATTGCTTTTCAGGAATTTGCAGAAGTCCTTGACAGTGTATTTCCCAAATCTATTACTTTTCCTGCTATCCTGACTCCTGGTACTAAAAATAATGATTTTGGACCTAAGATGAAATTGTTGAAAATTTCAATATTGTCTCTATGTATGATGGAGCTGCCGATTGGCTCAGTGGTGAGAATTTTTAATTTCTTTATGTTGAGATGTAATCCATATTGAACTTCTGCAGCTGCAAGCCTTTCCAGCCCTCCTCACTTTTAGCAAGCAAAATTGTGTCATGTGCATAATGTATATTTTTGATGAGTCTTTTTCCAAACATAATGCCCCATTCTTCTTCATAAAATCAAGCTTTTCAAATTATTTGCTCAGAACACAGATTGAATAGGTATGGAGATAGGATACAGACCTGATGCATATCTTTTTAATTTTAAACCACATGGTGTTTACTTGCTCTGTTCAGACAACAATGAGAAACCCTACTAAAAACAAATAGAAAGCTTTCCCTGTTCTTCACTATCCTCACCATCTTTGCCATGCCAAGATCAAAGTTACTATCACTGTGCTCTGTGCTAATCCATCATGTTTATGGTCTTTTCCTGACACTACGCTTTTCTGAATATTGTTATTGTTGCTTGCCGTTGTGTCAGATTGACTCATAGCTCACTCTCCAGGAGCTTTTCATAAATAGTAAATTACATAGAAATTATTCATTCTTCTCCCATGGAGCAGCTGGTGATTAAAGCTTTACTTTTGGGATTGCAGTGCAGCTTCTAACCAAAAGGCCACCATAGATAGATAAATGATAGATAGATAGATAGATAGATAGATAGATAGATAGATAGATAGATAGATATAGATAGATATATAGATAGCTATAGATAGATGAGAGAAAGAGAGAGATAGTTGTAGATGAAAACAAACATGTAGGTAAATAATTGGATGGACAGGTAAATACATAGAATTCATTGAAAATTAGGGGAATTGCAAACTACTTAATTGCTCATGTAAAACTTCTGTGTAGACCAAGAAAAGAAGAACCAAAATACAGGGATACTCTGTGGACATAATGTTGTTGATTAAAATGAAGAGGACTGGAAACATTTATTAATGATATCCTAAAGTTTTCTTTTCATACTTATTCAATCTGTGGCATCAGGATTGGAGGAAGACTCATCAACCTGCATTATACAGGTGATACAACCTTTCTTGCTAATGCACAGAAGACCTGAAGCACTTGTTGCAGAAGATCAAGGCTTACAGCCTTCAATATGGATTACATCTCAACACAAATATAGATTCTCAGCACTGGATCTACAGGTAACATCATGATAAGATGCAGAAAAACTTGAAATTGTCCATGATTTCATCTTCTTTGAATTCACAATCAACTGGTTTTTTTATCATCTTGAAGAAGATCGGGAAACATAGAACATAGGGAAAGTGTGCTATCAGGAGCCTCTCCAAAAGTTCTGAAGAGAAATGATGGCAGTTTAAAGACTAAGATATATTTGATTTAAGTCATGGTCTTTCCAGTTACTACTGTGAATCTGAGAGCTGTAGAATGAATAAAGATGACAGGAGACAAAATGATTCATTTAAGTTGTGGTCTTGAGGAAGAGTGTTAAATATCCCATGAACTTCCAAAAGTACAGACAGATATGCCAGATATAGGAGGCAAATGAAATTAACATTGCTTGTGTTAATCACATCCTAATCTTAAAATTGACATT